GGGATGGTGGCTCAGAAGCCCCTACCCCTGGGCTGGGAGCGGTGGGAGGGATGGTGGCCCGGAAGCCCCTTCCTCTGGCCCAGGAGCAGCAAGACAGAAGATGGCCCAAAAGCCCTTTCCTCTGGGCTGGGAGCAGCGGGAGGGATGGTGACTGGGAAGCCCCTTCCTCTGGACCAGGAGCAGTAGGACGACAGGTCAGAAGCCCCTACCTCTGGGCTGGGAACAGTGGGACTCAGTACCGTGGTCTGGTGGTCTGCTGTCCTCTGCGTCTTTGTAGTGTGGAACCAGGTGGCCGCCTGTCTGCAGCAGGCTGATTCGCCATCTTCTGCGTGACTCGGGAGCTCGGTAGGGCGTGCGCAGACCTGCCTCTCTGCAGCCGGGTGATTCGGTGTCTTCCTCACAACTCAGGACCTCTGTAGGGCATGCACCTGCCTTCTACAACTCTTAAATACTTGATATCAAGAGCTTCCAACATGTAAAGATGCACAGGGTTAAGCATGTGATTTCATTGGCAATAGATATACCTGGTCATTTGATGGTTCTTTTGCCAAAAGATTTTAGAACTAGTAATTAAAAAGATGGTTTTTGAGCACTAGTGAAAGAACTCAACACTAGGAGCCAGTACGGCTCCATCAGAAGTGAATCATGCCTGGTTATCTTACTTACTATTTAATTTAGTCAGCAGCTGGTAGCACAAGAATGGTGCAGCTATTCACACAGGCATTTGAAAAACCCTTCCCATTACCCTGTTTCTTGAACACTGAGCTGGATAATAATACAGTGAAGCAAAAAGATCCAACCAAAGGGCTTTAATGGGTTGATGTTCTTAGGCCAGTATTTTAAAATTTATTTATTAATTTACAAGACTAAGGACATGGATGATGAGTGCAGTGATACCATGAAGCCAGGAGGAAGAGCTGATATGTGAGATCTAGGTTCAGGATCACTTCAACAGAGTGGAATGATGAGCAGGCCCTAATGAAATGAAATGTAACAACAGAAAGGGAAGTCTTGCAAATGATCCAGGGAAAAGTGCTCCAATAACAGTTAGGGACACAGAGCGTTATGGCTGTGGTGAAGACGCCACAGAGTCACTATGATGAGCAGCCATCTCGACCAGTCGTGGTAGGAAGTGAGAGGCAGTGCACCATCTGGATGAAGCTCATGGCCCCATTGTGAGGCCCCAATGGGAACTCTGATGAGTGGAACACATGCTGGGCAAGTTCCACCTAGGAGACAGGTATCCAACACGGCATCAACAGCTGAAGGAACTGGACAGGTCTGTCCTGGAGAAGACAGGGAGTTGGAAGTCTGTCTGCAAATTTCCAATGGGCTGACTTGGAAAAGGCATGGGAAAAGTACTTGGTGTAAGGAGGCTTGGAGGGTGGAGGGAGGGAAGCTAACAGGAGTAGTCTTTGTTTTCATAAGTTCTAATTTAGCCACAGCAAAATGAAATGAAGTTAGATTTTAAAACTAGAATTCTTGCTCAGTCAGAGGCAAGATGACTGATCATCTGGAAGGATGTGTGGGGGAGATTATAGTATTCAACTGAGGTTTGCCCACATGATTGCTAAGATCCCTTCTTAACCACAGATGCTACAATATCCTAAAAATAAAAGTTACTTACGTAAAATATATCTATTGATATAAGAAAAAAATGTGATTACTGCCAAAAAAAAAAAAAACCTACGTGTAAACATTCTAAAATAAGAAAACACTGTAACTTTAAGCAGGATAGGATTTTAGGCAGGTTTCCTATATACACCCTAGGTCTTCATTTTACCTCTCTGGCATAGTATCTGATCTTACCAGTATATCTGAAAACTCAGGTCTCTTGGCCACATCTGGGAGACTCTATAATTTATAATTATTATAATTTTTCAAAATTTTCTTGGTAATTCTGATGCTCAGGCAATCTGAGGAACCACTGAAACTCTAGACTTACAGGGTTAACTTATTTGGCCTATGAAATATATGTATATGTAATGCTTTAAAAAGCTTAGTAATCCTAATCAGCCTGTTAATATTTCAGACCCTCCAGTATCATATTTAGTAACTATCATTTCTATGCAGGAAACAAATGCAACCTCAGTATTCTAAGAGTTTAGAGCATAAAAGTTGAAAATATCACATCACATGCTTAGCAATTTTTAATGTAATATGTAGATCACGTCTAGCTTGTTAGCATTTGTCTTATGTAACATGCTTTAAAATGTGTTGTATCACTTTTAGGAGAAATCTAACATAGATGAACTCATAGAAGCAGATAGTAGAACAGTAGCTAGGAATGCAGGGAGGAGGTATTAGTCAAAAGACATAAAAACCAAACTCCCCATTTCACCTCCCCGCCAAGCAAACCAAAAAGCCAGCAGACTCTAGTGAACTGAAAGTTAAGAGAAGCATGGATGATGGCAGCACTGGAAGGAGAAAGGGGCTGACTATTAAATGCAGATGACAGAGGACAGTTTAGGAGGTATTTTTTAAAGTGATGGAAACATTATAAAATCAAATTGTGGGGACTGCACAACTCTATAGATTTATAAAATGAAATAAATGAATTGGGTATTTAAATAATTAATTTTAGGGTGGTTAAATTATATTTCCATAAAGCTATTTTAAAAAATAGACAAAAAACCACATAAATTTTCTTTTAAAAAAAAGTAATGTTATTTTTTGAAGTATGAGACATTTCTTCCTAAACAAGTAGAAGAAAATGTCAAGGTTAGTAGAAAAAAAATAAGGTGATATTTTTCATACACATATCATTTTAGTTTAAATAACATGTTTTCCTTAAGTTTCCACGTGGGTAGGCAAAATTTCAGAAAATGTGAAAAGAAGACATGTTTATAAGGCGTATTAGGAGCTCACTAATGCAGTGAAAATCAGTGTGGGATTTTCCACGTTCAATCAATTGCAATTACAAATACAGAAGTCCAAATGTTTCCTTGATATTGTATGTTTGTTCAACTTATCATTGTTTTTCCTGTATCTCAAGGAAGCTTCCTTCAGCACTTAAATTCAAGGTGATCAGTTGTAATATATGAGGAATGGTATTACCAAAGTGTTGATTAAATTCTGGTTCTCTCCATATATCACAGAGGAGTTTGGTGAAACTAGGGGTGGGATGGAAACCCATCCTCCAACCTGCTCTGAATCTGGGGCCAAGTCCTTCACCTGCGACTTCCTGGACTTGGAGGCAAATCGTCTCTGAGACTGTTTTCTGGCTACATCCACCTGCCTACCCACCAAGGGTGTGCAGACAGACACACTGAAGGAAGAGTAGATCACAGAGCAAAGACATCGGTCCGTCTGGGTCTGCATGGGTTTCCTGTAGAGGAAAAGCCCCGCAACTACTGAAAATTTGGAAGAAATAAGGAATTAGAATAAAGGCACTGACACACCATATCCAAATCCAAAAGGAGACTTTTAAACATGCAAATAATAGTAATATTGGTGGGTTGTTTGTGTTTCCTGAAAGTTAAACTTAGAAAGTCAATCTGCTGAAAACAGTTCTTACACTGACTTTTTACATTCACTGGTCTGGTTATTTATTGTTTTGAAATGCTAAAATCCTTTTAATTGAGTTCTTCATGTCTGACAGGTTGCCACATGCTTCTCATAGTGAAAATGGTCACAACTCACATCGAACTAGCTAGTCAGATAACTGATTTTTTCATTAACATCTGCTAAGGTGGTGATGAGAGGATCTTTACCAAAGTTTAAATTGGAATTGAAAACAAAACCAAGAAGACAACTGTTGACTTGACCCTTTAGGTACTGATATACTTCCTTTTAATTACGATTTTGACAGGGCAAATGTTTTCAAAACTTCTCCATGAGTGGAAGGAAACTATCTACTTACAGATGCACAAGACTATGAGGAAAAGGAGGTATGTGACCAGTTCCCGCAAAACACTCTTAAGGTATTTCTCTCGATTAGTGCTGCTTTCCTCCATGAGTCTTGTTCCCCAGAGACCTTTAAAATATAATGGGGAAAAAAGATGTTATTTAAGAATGCTCATGAATAGCAAAAGAGAAGAAAACATGAAGTAAACAGTGTAAGGCATAAGGGAGGTTCTCATTCAGAAACATAAATATATATGAAGATATATATTTTAACAAACTCTAAATGCAACTGTGAAACTGGCATAGCAGGAGTACTTTATAATTCACAATGCACCAAGCAAAATACAAGGCAAAGATCCAGTCATTTTCTCAACTCCCAAGACCACTAGTAAATGTCTTAGTAAAAATGCAGGAGGGCAGGAAATGAGGACAGTTTAAAAGAGGAGAGTTAGCCACCATGTGCAACACACAGCTCTTCATATGTGAGCAAGGACATGACCTGTCGTGCTACTATCAAACCCAGTTAAGGAGGTGATGTGACTACATTGCAGATGGCCTTAGAAGCCACCTCATGAAAAAGTTCTGGTTGGTGCGACATGGCAACTTCCAAACATCCATCAAGTGCCTATCACACAGGCAGAGGAGCTGCTCTGTGCTCATCTTTGTCCTATCAGGAACTCGATAGGGATTGCCCATACTAAGTCTGTTTTGCTTAACTGATTTATAAAATTTCAATTAACATGTACTTTTAAAATTAAAAGCAGCTTCTCTCTTTCTAAGGGGAAAGAATAAGATCAGCAGCCATGCTCTATGTTTTAGCGGATGGAAAAATGTTGGGCTGGCTGAGTGAAGATGACATAACCCTGCGTGAGCCTGCTGCAGAAAGTTACAGTTTTGGATTCAGCCAGCAGGCAGACATGGTGGCCATCCAACCCCCTTTTAATAAACAGTGCGGTCAAGTCACATTACTGTTTCTTTAGAAGAATCTTAATGTTTCCAGAAAAGACAAGCTTCTCCATTCTTTCAGTTAGATTAGCATGGCTGCTGATGGAAACCATCCTGGGCCTGCAATGCTTTTATTCTACAGACCTCAGCCCTTCAATAACTGAAGCTCACACTGCAATCATGCCAAAGAGAGAAAAGGGAAAGTGTCTTTCATTCAGAATAAGTGATTTCATCATCTGTGTTCATGCATGTTTTAGATCTTACAATAATGCATCAGTTCTACTCCTAAATTTGAGTATTTCATTTCCTTCTTTCTCCCAAATTTCCTTTAGGAAAATCACCATCTGAATTCAAAGACACTGTGTTACACATCATAGGTTTTCACCATGCTGGAAGTAAGCATAACTTATGATGGAGGTGCTGCTGCCAAGACCTGGAAGCTGTCGGGGAATGACTCATACAGAAGAAATGCAGTGAGCAGAATGTTTGTTCCTTGAAACTCTATCATACTGAAGAATTATTACAAATGTAGATGACATGGAAAATTACAACTCCGAATAGCCCAGAGGCAGCCAAGAATTAGGCTCAGTAGCCCTGGATACAACCACATCATCTCTTTGGGTGGACTTCTTTTGGAGACCAGGCCTAACATAGACATGGAAGCAAAGATGGCTGGTCTGTACCATCAGGAAACACTGTTTCCCTGCCTTTCTTGTTTAGAGGTTTCATTCTTTTCCATGGGTTATGGACAACCAGGCACTAAGGAAAAGGCAAAACTTTAACTTTCACAAATGATACTGCTTGGCCTTTAAATAGAAAAACAAACTTCTATCAAGCTAAACTTACAATGGCCCATGATAACTTAATTCTTGCCCTTGAATGAGACATTTCAAATAAAAAGAAACAAGTCACCTTATTTATAATTTTATATATTATTGTGACTTTTATTTTTCTAAATTATTCAATCTACCTCCTTATGTATTTATGGCCTTTACAGTTTTCATGCCATTTTCTCATTGAGTGTATATGTAGGGGTTATCTTAAAAGACAGGGACTTCTTTACATTCAGATAGGTGAGAGATGGCTTCTTCACAAACAGAAAAAATAATTTCCCTGTTATTAACTACCTAACTAGTTCCCATATTTAACACAGCTGACAGGATAAGGATGGAGCTCAGATGCAAAATAGCGGCATTCTTCAAAATCTGCTGCTGCCTTTTCTCATGACTGTCCCAGCATGATGGGAGTATTTTCCAGATACCCATGTTCAGCACATATGGTGCTTCTAGCCATTTAGGAAAACATGAAATGAGGGGCACACTGCATAACTCTCCAACTTCCTTTATGTTTAAAAGGGTGTTTAGCTTATGCCAGAGGCCAAGTCAAAGTACATTGTCTAAACAGTGTATGCCTCTGCACAATGCTACTTCTTAAATATGAACATCAGGGTCTTTGGAATGGGTAACCCCAAATGCAAGATGTTTTGAAGATAAATAGCTGGTTTTGTAAACAAATGCTCTTTCCCCAACAGCTTTATACAAATGTTTTCAAAAACTTACCATCTTGGAAAATATTTGAAAATACCACAAAGAGAGAATGACATAATGCTCTTCTGTATCCATCACCCATCTCCAGCAATTATCAACTCAAAGCCAACTCTGATTCATCTAAACCCTACCCATTCTCCCCAATTACTTTGCAACTAACCCAAGGTTCAGTGGGGTTTTTTTTGCCTCAAGTTCATATTTTCCCACCTGAAATACATGAACTCTCTCTGACTTACTGACATGACATGGTGCAATGTAGGACTCTGGAGTCATCTACTGTCCCTGGGGGCTCAGCCACTTGTGAGCCATGAGCCGTGAGACCTTACCTAATGTTAATATTCTCCACTCCCTCTAAAATCGAGCAGGAATTCTTCCTCATGGGGCTCTCCTGGGAATTAGAAATATTACATGAAGAGCATGTGAATTATAGGAAGACTTCTAGAAAGTGAAGCTGGTTAGCCAGGTGTGGTGGCACATGCCTGTCATCTCAGCTCCCTGGGAGGCTGAGGCAAGACTATTACATGTTTGAGCCCAGCCCACGGGGCAACTCAGAGACTTAGCAAGACTCTGTATCACTAAAAAAGCAAACAAACAAAACTTTAAAAGGGCTGGTGATACAGCTCAGTGTGAAGGCCTTGGGCTCAATCCCCAGTACCACAAAAAGAAAACAAAAATAAAAGAGAGAAAGGGGACATGACTTTTCACTATTATTGCTTCATTTTCACTAAAATAGTCAGTGGCTACCTGACTAGAATATTCAGTGACTCCTGAATCCTGTAATCTCAGCCAGCATTCCCTGAGGTGTGGACAGGTATTGACCCCTGTTAATAGTTCCCTCTGCACATGGCTCACACTCACAGGCCCAAAATGAAGCTCTTCCTTCTTCTAGAAACCTGCTCTTCCTATTTGGGTTTGCCCAAGAACAGGCCCTCTCTTATCCCTCCAGGGAGCTGGTTTGGCAATTCTGAGTTTCAGGCTGTCTTGAATCTCCCTCCATCCCTGCTCACCTGCCTGGTTCCAGCCCTGGGCATCGCTCTCCATCCTGGCCAGCCCTCTCCTGACCAAGTCTCCCAGCCACCAGCTCACCTCACTCCACCCTCTGAGTCCTTCAGACTGCCATGGGATCAACCAGCCTCCAGTCTGAAGCTCCCGACTCCAACTGCCAACAGGAAAAAGTCCAGTTCCATAACTCATGCTGTAGGTTTGCTTGGTCTTGCTCCTGCTATTGTTCTCTCCCAGAATTTCCTCCTCATTCTTCAAAATGTAGCTCACATTTGACTCTCTCTTGAAGGCTCTTCTGACCTCCTCAGGAAGAGCTGCTCCTCTCTTCCTTGGGTTCCTCTCATACCTAGGACCGACCACTGCAATTACTCACCCCTGAAAGATGGAGCCTTCTATTATTTGTCTTGTGTCCTTATGACCCACCACAGAGAAGAATCTCATAAAAAGGATTGTTTATTGCATGAACTCTTTCTAGCATAACCTTGACACAACCCAAAGAGTAGCAACCATCCCTCAAAAGAATCCTGCAGTAATTAAATACAAAATCTTGTTTGTTCAAAATAATGCTGCAAGTAAAAATGAAAAGGAAAAATCGATGGGGTGAAGACTGGATAAAAATAAAAGGAAAATCATTAGAGCCAAAAGGTCAAAAAAAAAAAAAAAACCAAACTGGTAAAAAAACCTAACACACCCATGTCCACCAACTAAGGAATGAATGAACAAAATGCGATACAGAGTACAATGATTCCATCATTAAAAGGAATGAGGTGTGCTACTACATAGATGACCCTTGAAAACATTATGCCATGTGAAATAAACCAGGTTGAGAGAATGGCAAGTTAAAATGGTGAATTAGTCTGTGTTGAAGGTCACAAACAGCACACTAATTTCAATGTCCAGGTCTGATTATTTTAGGAAAAATAAAAATAGGCCTCCTATTTCCCTTGAGCACCATTAAAGTAACAGAATTGATAGCTGGCCATCCAAATCCATGCCTTCCCGTCTGGATGCAAGGCTACAGTGCATTTTACAGACTTCCCTGCAGGTGTCTGGGTTACATGAATAAGAACTTGGCCAACAGATCATGAGTGGAACAGATGGGAGCTGCTTGAAGGACCGGGACTTTAAGACAACAGTAATCTTCTTTCACCTTCCTCCCATCAGAACTGGGGTGTCCAGCTTTGACCTTGCATATGGTGACAGGGCCCTGGGAAAGGTGCATGAGGGAAGGAGCTGATGTTCCCAAATATAAGCACAAAGAGGAGAGCTGTTGCTCACCTGGAATACCCTCCTTAAGTGTTAGTGTGCAACCAACCTCTTATTCTTCTGGGCACTGAATGGGAGGAAGGTGTTTATTTGTTCTGTGGCATAGCCCACCCTTACCTACACAGTTAGTACAAGTCAAGCATCCCTAAGTCAAACATCTGAAATCAAAATACTCTGAAGTCTGAAACTGTGTGAGCACCAACATGACCCCTCAAGTAGAAAATTCTACACCTGACCTCATGTTGATAGGCTGCAGTTAAAACACAGGTGCACTCAAAACATTGTATAAAAATACCTTTAGGCCAGGGGTGATGAACCTATGGCACATAGAGCCCTCTCTGTCACAGGAGCAAAGTGTATGAGTTTTTTTTTTCTAAACTAAAACCTTAGTATTTAATTGCAGTGTTGGCACTTTGAGATGAATAAGTGGGTTTAGGGTTGCAGTTTGGGCACTCAATCTCTGAAAGGTTCAGCATCACTGTTTAGGCTCTGGGTACAAGGTGCATGTAAAACAGAAATGAGTTTCATGTTTAAACTTGGGTCCCATCCTCAACTGTATCTGCAAATATTCAAAAATCTTTAAAAAATACAGACTCCAAAATGTTTCAGGACCCAAGCATTTTGGCTAAGGGATAATCAACCTATTCTTTGTGATTTCTCTAGGAACAGCAACAAAAACAGCAACAAAAAGCCCAAGCATCCATGTTTAAAACAACAAATAGAAACTGACTCTTGCAAGCTGACTCACTAATAGCAAAATATTCAACTTTAGAAAGTCAGACGATTTGATAAACAGACTGCTACATTTTACTGCCGGACATCTCCTGGTCTGGGGCATTGTCTGTAACCCATGAGCTAGTCTTTGCTTCCTCTGTTCCACGCCATCAGCATCTCCTCCCTGGCTGCCAGCCACCTGGTCTACCTGCCTTGGTGTCTCCTCTGCAGGCCTCTTGGACACTGCAATGGTGACTCCATTCCCCACCAAGACTCCCTGCCCCTGCTCCTGCTCAGAAATGTTCATCTGCTTCTTAATATGCAGGGATGCAGCCTTGGTTCCTCGGTTAGATACAAAGCACTCCTACCAGGCCTCAGGCATTTTTTCTTTCTTGACTATACCACTTCTGCTAAGGCAGCAGAGTAACGTACTGACCAATGAACGGAAAGGACTATTTGCTGTCCACCTGGAATTGGTGTTATTAAACAACAACCAGAGTATGCTGAAGCTACAAGCAGTCTTGGAGATTCAGTGCAACTCCTTCATTATAATCATTGAGTAGCAGAGGCCCCAGAGGTCTGAGTAACTGTATAAAGATCTCTGGGAAATGTCTGACCACTCTAAACTTCAGTAATCTCCCCTACTTTAAAATTTCCAAAAGTGGCTGGCTATTGTGATCCTAGGGCACTGCCTGTATTGTGGTGCATCCAACATTTCCATCACTTATTCCAAGAGGGGTGAAAAATCACACCTTCTTCATTAATCATCTTACATTTCTGGATTCTGAGGTAAATGGTGATACACTACTCCAGTTTATTTCTTTTTGCAGCTGCCAGCATTGTGTTATCTTCATCATAGGTACTAAGTATTTAATAAATGTTGCTTATTTAATGGGTGACAAGAATGTCAACTATAATTTCTTCACTACAGAAACTGATAAAATGAGATTTAACATTTTTCTATAATTAAAAATTTCCTCAGTCTGGCCCCCTATGAAAGAATGAGATCACTGATATATGTGCTATTATTTTTTTACATTTACCAATTATCAAACAGGATATCACCAGGGAAACAGATGAAGAGCTGTCTGGGCCAAGTCTGAGAAGAGCTGGGGCTTCCGTGGCCTCTCAGGGAGTGCCACTGCCAGGACCCTTCAGTGCTCAGCAATCTGGAAGTTCCCACAGATACAGCTGGACAAGAGGTTTTAAGAGTATGAGCTTAGTAACTATAAGCTTCTTGAAAAAACACTTTAAAAGAAATAAACATGTATATAACTCATATAAAAATATGTATTTCATATTTTATTCCATTGAGTTTAGTAAAGGTTATGTGTGCTGTCAAATGCTCAACCTAAGTTACTAGGATCTTGTGACTGGCCACTATTAATGTGGGAAACTTCCGTCTTATCTCAGTGAACACTTTTTAAAAGCACATTTCACATAGGGTAAAATGATACATAATTTGTTTTAATACAGTTTTGAACCTTACAAAGTACTAGTGTTTTATTCACTTAAGTTATCAAAAGGATCCTTTCATTTCCATTATGCTCTGAATCAAATTAACCAGTATAAGCATGCATGTAAAAGAAGGGCCCAAATATACTTTTATGATTTGTAAGACTTATGGAGCACTCACAGCATGGCACAGACTTACTACCTGTTATGGCTCATATCTAGATGTTCCCCAAAGCCTTATGTGTTCAGAGGTGTGGATTTAGGGAAGTGGCTGGATCATGGCTGTGTGATACTGGGTTAAGGGTTTGATAACTGGATCAGTGCTCTAATTGGATTAGCATAGTTCTGGATGTGGCTGAATGGATTTACTGACGACAGAAGATCCACCCTGCTTGTGAGCAGCACACACTTGTAGCCTGAATGTAATAAAAAGGGAAGGAAGGCAGCTGCTTGTTGCCTTTTTCAGCCTAACATACCATGGACTGTTTCTCCTTCACCATGCTACCCTGCATTGGAGCCACCCTTCTATGGACTGAAACCTCTTCAAACCGTGAACTAAAGTAAACTTTTCCTCCTTTAACTTGTGGGCATCAAGTATTTTGTTCCAGTACCCAGAAAATAACCAAGACACTACTTCACTTCTGATGTCTTATTCAAATTCTTCCCACAAATCAAGAACTACGCACTAGGATTATCTCTTTTCTTTTTTAATAGATGCAAAATTTAAGGATCAAGCATATGAGGAAAAGTTAAATAACTTGCTCAAGGTGTTAGAGCCAATGAGTAGCAGAACTGAGATTTAAATGTAGACTAGAGCTGTCTTATTTATGCTGCTACAACACCACCTCTATGGGTTGTGCGCACAATTTTCAAAACTGACAGGGAAGAACAGGGAGAATGTCAAAAGAACTGAGAATGGAAACTAAAAAATGAGGATTCATTAGATTGTAGTGGCGAAACAGGAGATTCACAAGTTGGAAGGAAGCCTGGGAAACTTAGATGAGACTCTGTCTCAAAGTAAAAAGGGCTGGGTGTAGCTCAGCCCCTGGTAGAGTGACCCTGGGTTCAATCCTGGTGCTGCCATCACCACCACCACCACCACCACACACACACACACACACACACACACACATACACACACAACAAACAAAAGTGGGTAAGACTCAATACAACACTCTAAGGACGACTTTACAAAATTTTGTAAAGCAGGATCCCATTTGCTACTGGAAAATCTGCCTCCTCTTACTAGGCACTGGCAAATCTGAAATTTTCTCCCTTGCCCTTTGCAGAGCTGGGTGAACGAACTCCACACATTGATCAGCTGGTATGTGGAGATTTCATTATTTAGTTGGCAACGCAAACAACACTGTTATTTAAAAACATCCAAGTTTTAAAAACATACTAGCAAGGTTTTAAAACAATGTAACCTTGTCTTTGCAACTGTTTCAGAAAAATGTCTAGAACTAAAAATGGTTAAACATTTATTTTTATAAACATTATTTTATTCCATTCGTGATACGGTCAACAACTCCTTCTTGACCAAATAATCATAGGCAACATCACCAAAACAACATCGTCAGTGACAACCTAACGGCACTTCCACGAATTTAGATAACGCTATAGTTACTCTTCCTTGAACAGGGTGAGACAACAGCGGAGCGTGAAGGGCATCATGCGTGCTCGTATTGTACAAAATTCTTTGTGATTTTGTGACATAAGCAAACATGCAGTTTAGTTGTAACCACCATGAGTTGTACTAGAAGCAAGACTCATTCTCCCCCTGCAAGGCCCCCTACTATGGCTTTCACGTGCTTTCAAAAGTCAGCAGAAGAGAGGCAGGCGCCAGACCCTACACCCCACCCGGGCGCAGGGGGATTCTGAAGGGCGCGGGGCGGGCTAGGCTAACAGCCTCCACCCCAGCTCTGGGCACCCGAGGCCGCGCTTACCTCGCAGCCCGCGGACCAGGCGCTCGGCCCAGGCCACGCGGGGCGGCTGCCCGTCCAGGGCCAGGTGGCGATGCCGCGCGTCCCCGCCGCCGGCTGGGCTGGGGCACGAAGCGCCAGGGTCCTCGCGCCGGTGGCGCCGCGCGCCCGGGGGTCCCGCGCCGTGGTAGCCGCCCAGAGCCCGGCCGCGCACGCCCGCAGAGCCCACGGCCGAGGACGCGGCCGCCCTGCGGCTGCCCGGGCGCCACTCCACGTCCATCTCCACCACCATGCCGCCCTCCTCGCCCTCCACCTCCTCGTCATCGTCCTCCTCCTCGGCCTCGAAGCCGGGGTTGTCGCGGCTCCACGCCTGCCGCGAGCAGGCTGAGGGCGGCGGGGACGGCGAGGCCGAGGCCCCGGCTGGGGGGTCGCGCGCGGCCGCCTGGCGGATGCGCTCCATCTCGATGTCCAGGCCTCGCGGCTCTCGCAGGCCTGGGCCGCCCAGCCCCGCCATCCGCCCGCCCGGCCCGGGCGCTCGGGGCGCAGACGGCTCAGCGGCCCCGGGCGGCTGCGGCTGCACGCGGCTGGCGTTCACCATCGCGTCACGGGCGCCTGGCGCGCGGGCCTTAGCGCCACACTCGGAGCGCGCGCCGCCCAGGCCACCGTCTCGCTTCCTTAACCGCCCCGGGGCCGCGCTAAGCCCCGCCCCGCCCCGCCCCGCCCCGCCCCGTCCCTGGGGCCCAGGCCTGGTCCCGCCCCGGCCGTGTAGGTCCTCCCTGCGCCCAGCAGAGCCCGAGCCCTGTGCACGCCACTCACTCTCCGATCCTGAACAGCTCGGGAGGAGTGCGCCCGGGGACAAACAGGCCCTGGAGATAATGCTTGGGTCCGGGTTAACCCTTAGTCATTTGTGCCTCGATTTACAGAAGTGAGAAGAGAGAAAGATGGAGACCCTTCCGTGGGATGGTGTGAGATAGTGAAATCGGGCTGAGCGAGGATCTCTAGAGTGGGCCGAGGTGCCTTTCCCACATTTGGAGATCTCAGACAAACCAGAGCTGACTTGCACCGCTTTCCCCGACCCCTCTGTGCTTTGATGTCCCTGCTGTCCACGCTGTGGGCGTCCAGAGGATTGGGCCTGAGGACTAGCAGATGGCTGGAGCTTGCACCGGGAGCTCCTGTCCTTCCCCAGCACTGGCCTCTGAGGAACAGGATCGTGCATCAGGCCCTGATCCTGGAACTTTATTTCCCCTTGGCTGCACATCCAGCTCTGCAGCTGTCTCAAACTCAGCCTACTCCAAGCTCAATGTCTTATCCTCTCCCTTGTCACTTCCTGTATCCCTGCTGAGGTTGGGGGCGGCCTGCCTGCGCTGCTTCTTGATCCCATTTGTCTGCTCTCCACCTCTTCTCTAGATTTCGTTCCTCCCTTTTGCCCACAGATGTTGCCCCGATAGGCTGTCAGCTTTTCATTCCCGGGCCGTATTTACCTCTGTGTGTGTTATCCCACATTGGAACCAAGGGTCCCTTTCCACCTCTATTCTCCATGTGTCCCCACTGTTTCCGGATTATATTCCGGAACCAAAGCTGCTCATTCCTCACATTGCTGCTTAGACAAGAGTATGAGTTTCCAGCAGCTCAGAGGGTAACATTTAATCTGTGTAGTTGGGTTTAGTAGGGTTTGGTGATCAGCTTGTATGTTAGCTTCCTTGGGAACCTAACAAACTACCACTGGCAACGGGGCTTGAACGATACAGAAATTAATCTCACAGCATGTTGTTTTCTTCTGAGGCCTCTCCTCTTGGCATGTGTGTCCCCTGCTTTTTCTCGGTTCCTCACATGGTCTTCTAATCTCTTATCGGAAGGCCAGTTGGACCGAATTACGGACCATCCTAAGGATCTCACTTAATTTAATTGCCTTTTAAAAGGCAAGTCCAAGTTCAGTACTGTTCTGAGGTACAGAAGTAGGGGTTAGGATTTCAACCTGAATTTTTGGGAGGACACAAGTCAGCTTATGGGTTATGACAGCTCCTAAGGTACTTTTCTAGCATGATTTCCCATGCTGCCCATCTCCTCATGCGGCATTATCTGCTGGTTTCTATGAACTCACAATATGCTGCTCATACTCACAAATTTGTAGCTCCTATCACTTGATTCTGCAGTTTATGCCAGTAACTGTCCTTTACCCAACTGTGAGCTTCTCAAAGGCCGGGCTGGCTGTGGGTCCTAAGCACAAGCCTGGCTTGTCCTGCAGACATTTCCCGGTGCACCCAATGAGGAGTCAGGCTTGTGAAGCAGAGTATGATATAGGCTTGGCCTTGAGAGGAGACAGATCAAACAAAGATTAAAAACATAGAGATAATTACTGTCCTGAGTAGGGGTCCCAATGCCTGTCATCCAAGAGACTGCTAAAGATGGCGAACAGCACCTCCTGCACTGCATTGTCAAAGCATTCTGAATAGACATGGGGCCCAGAGGGAGTTGGGCATGGACAGAGCACAGATCTGAGCCAAAGGGGTCCCCGGGGGAACAGCTCTAGCTGTGTGTTTTTTTCCAGTACCGAGGATCAAACTCAGGACCTTGGGCTTATGAGGCAGGCAAGGTGGCCCTGAGCTAAATCCCCAGCTCTCTAGCTCTGTGTTTTCAAAATATGACCTAAAGACCTCCAATATCACTTGGAAAACTTGTTAAGGATACATCCACTCTAAAGACACACTAGTCTTATTTGTTCAAGAATTCTAGAACTTTAGACCTGAAATTCTGTATCTTCTCAGAGTTTGGGGGCTACCCTCAATTTGGGAAGCACCAATGTATTATGAATTTCCCCTGTAATCCCTGCTTCACTATCACCAATGATCCCATCATCTAGAATCCCAGACCTAAAGGAAACTTTGGTGAAGTTAGACTATCTTTGGCTGGGGCCTGCTCTGTGCTCATTTCTTGCAGGGACCCTGGAGGCGGGGGCCTGGGCTTTAGGTCTTGTTCTCCACTTCCTGCTGTATGATATTGGTCATGTTTCTTCTCTTTTTGTTGCTTGTAAAGATGGAAATAATGATAGTGCCTATCTCATGGTGTTGTGAGGATTAGAAGACTTGATACATATAATTGCCTTAATCCGTCTGTACTGATTACTATCGTAACAGTATTCTTTTCTTGTAGTTTTGGAAGCTGGGTAGTCCAAGGTCATCATACTAGCAGATGTTGTATCTGGTGAAAGCCCACCTTCTGACACAGATAGCACCTGCTAGCTGTGTCCTCACATGGTGGAAGGGACTGAAAAGTTCCATTATGGTTTGGGTTGTAAAAGTCCTACGAAGGCTCATTCATTGAAATCTTGGTCGCTAGTCTACGGTGCTATTGCAAAGTGGTGGAACTTTTTGGAGGTGGGGCCTGGTGCAAGAAAGTTTGCTCCCAGGAGTGCATGCACCTAAGCGGAATGTGTGGGCCCCAGCATTTTCTCTTTCTGCTTTCCAGACACCATGAGCTGAGCAGCTTTGCAACACCCGTGTCACCTGCCATGATGCTCTGCCTCACCAGGAACTCAGCAGCAATGGAGCCAACTCATGTGGGCTGAAACCTCTGAAACCATGAGTTTGAATAACTTTTTCCTCCCTTTAACTGGATTTTTCTCAGATATTTTGTTATCAAAATGGAAAGCTGGCTAACACAAGCTTCCTTGGGCCTTTTGAAAATAAAGACCTTAGTTCCTTTCATGAGGGCTTCATCCTTACAACTTAATCACTTCCTGAAAGCTCTACCTTCTAATATCTTCACTGTAGGAGTTAGGGTTTTAGTGCATCAATTTGGGGAAACACCAACGTTCAGATTGTAGCAGTGAGGCATATAGAACCCTGCCTGGCACATGGTAAATGGTAGCAGTATTAGAGCTCTACTGATTCGTGTACTTCATCTATTATAATTGCTCATTTGGATATCTTTATCCCATTTAGACTATGAGCTTCTTGAGGACAGGGGCTCCATGCCCAGCACAAGATTCTGTAAACAGTACTTTGTGAGTACCTACTATGTATCAAACACAATGCTACAAGTAAGAGAAAGCAGTGAAGCAGGTGCAAAGCCTGGCCCTCCTGGAGGAAGGCTTACCTTCCACAGGGATTTGTGAAGTTAATGAAGACTCTTAAGTCCCTGCCATCATCTTCAGTCACAGAGCTGGACCTTTGACCTAAACTGGAGTCTTCTGACTCTTCAACTCCTTAAATGTTTACGGCCTGCCACTTCTCCTCTGAGTCCCAGGAGCTCTGGATAGGTGTTACGCCCACAGGAACCTATGATTAAATCACTGGTCAAAATGCTATCTTAAATGTTGGAATATTTTCCCCCAACAGTGGTGTAGCTCCTCACAATTCAGGCAGATTACTTCATTGCAGATTCTGCTTCATGTTTCCATTTCTTGTTTGCTCTCAGTTTTTTGTTTTAAAACAAAATCTGAACCAGTCTTCCTGTGACTATACTTTCACCTTTAAAATATTGATTGAAAATGTGTACATACATAAATTTAGTGTTAGATGTATGCTTACCCACAATTTTATTTAAGTTACCAGAAGAAATGTAATATAAAAAATTCATGGTAATTTTTATGTAATAGAATGAGTAGTATTTAGTCCATTGTATCTTAAATCTTACATTCTAAGAGTTTCACTATTAATTTTAATCTAAGCTTTATAAACTCAACTCCTGTTATCAGATATGTTTCCTGCACAAATATCTATTCATTCCTTCTGGTTTCCTAATGTTCCCTTTTGTGCTTTTACTTTAACATTATATCCCCCCTGCAAAATGCCTAACTTTTGCTCAAGCTGGCTTAAGTTTCTCTTCCTATACATAGAATTCCTTCTTTTAATAGTTATCTTAAAAATCCACTTCTCATAAAAAGTGTTCCCTTATTACAAAGTGAAATGCACAAAGTTGTACTTTTATTTCTCTGACTGCCACAGTCCTAATGTCATGTCACAAGTTTCAATAATGCAGAGTGTGGGGTGCTGTGTGAGATAGATAACATAGCCAGAGTGCTCTTTGATTTCATCTCATTGAGGATTTTTCTGGGGACACACTCTATGAACTCCTTACTTTGTCCTCACGCCAAGGGGAACACTCAGCTGTTTAAAAAGCCAGTATTATGAACAGTGCAGTCCAATTTAATACTTAGTAATTCCCATGCCTCTAACTTCTGTATTGTTAGAATCATATGTTTTCTGGGTTGCTTCTATTTTCCAGTGAGAACTGTTGAGGCAGACACAAGCTGAAATACCCATTGGTCTCACTGTCTCCACATTCAAGAGGAAATCCAAAAGGAGTTTCTGGCATGTGTGGTGTTGCTTAGCAATTCACTCAAACAAATATGTTTCTCTCTCATTTTTTTCCCAAGCCCTTATTTATTCAAGAACATTGTAAAATAAATTTTTACAACTTGACATCTGAAATCATTAGAAGAAAATTTGGTATTTGGGGCTTTATAAGAAGTGCTAACCAATGTAAAACTTACTTTATTTCTCGTTTTACTTCCTAATAAGGCAAGGCTAGGATTTGCAATGTTCTTCATGTCTGAGTTTTGGTTTGAATTGGCCTATGTGTCCTTGTCTCTGTCGGGATTATCTTGGCATC